TTCCACAAGCAAAGAGAATGTTTTTAGTGAGGTACTTCCTAGCAAAGTTCTTCTCTCAGAAGGCCTTTTGTTCTTTGAAAGACACCAAGTATTTTTCTACCCTGTTTTTATTCTCAGCATGATTGGAATTAGAGCAGAAGAGGGCTCATATAGCTCTTTTTGGATATACAGGTTTTCCAGGGCATTCCCTTATAATCCCTTTAGTTATTGGCACAAAATAAACTAGAATACCATTATAGGCCTGAAATGAGACAAAAATACAACATTACCAAGTGTCTTTCCTGCATATAGATGTTGATAGTTTTAAATCTAGTAGGTTTTTCTTGTTATACTGAGATTTTCTGAAGATCCTGGGAATCCAGGAAGAGTTAAAAGAATATACTGATTAGCCCTGTGTAGATGAGAAGCATGTGATAGGTTATCAAGTAGAAGAGGAAAACACTGGAATTTTAATGCATGGTAATTATTTGGGATCTAGAATTCACTAATTTTTATCTTTAATCATCTAATGTGATACTTATTTTACCTTAGCACATAATTGAGGAAATGGATAACTTTAAAAATTCTATTCTTTTATCAGGTTTTGAGGCTGGATTTAAGAATGAAGAGAATCTGAAACGGGATATTTCTGAGGAAGTACAACTACATAGGACATTACTTGCAAGGTCTGAAAGGAAAATTGTCCGGCATCTTAATTGGGACAAAGGTAGTGAGAGTGGATGTAGATCAGGAAGACAGTGGGAAAGGACCCCAGGGGAAAGGAGAGGAAAACCCACACTTTCAGAGAGAAGTTTAAGTAAAGTTCTAAGTCATCAGAGACCTTACTTAGGAGAGAGACCCTATAAATATCTTAGATATGGCAAAAACTTTGGTCCAAACTCCCACCTCATGCATCAGATATCCCATCAAGTGGAAAATCCATATAAATGTGCTGACTGTGGGAAAAGCTTCAGTCGGAGTGCACGCCTCATTAGACACCGGAGAATCCACACTGGAGAGAAACCATATAAATGTCTTGACTGTGGGAAAAGTTTCCGTGACAGTTCAAATTTCATCACCCACAGGAGAATCCACACAGGAGAGAAACCATATCAATGCAGTGAGTGTGGAAAACGTTTCAATCAGAGCTCAAGCCTTATAATTCACCAGAGAACCCACACAGGAGAAAAGCCCTATCAATGTGAAGAGTGTGGAAAAAGCTTCAATAACAGTTCTCATTTTAGTGCACATCGGAGGATACACACGGGAGAGAGACCCCATGTGTGTCCTGATTGTGGAAAGAGTTTCAGTAAGAGTTCTGACTTACGGGCACATCACAGAACCCACACAGGAGAAAAACCCTATGGGTGTCATGATTGTGGCAAGTGCTTCAGTAAAAGCTCTGCTCTGAATAAGCACAGAGAAATCCATACACGAGAAAAACTTCTGACACAGTCAGTGCCTAAGCAGTAAGCCCCTGAGGATCTATAAGAAAATAAAGAGCCTCAATAAATGTATTGAAATTGTTTGGAAAAGTCTTTCAATAGTGAGATCCATCTCCTATTCTGTGCCCAACTAGCTTAGGAAATACTCTAGAATTTACCTCACTGTTCCAGTTTCTCCTGGATCAAATTCCCATGGCAGTCATCTTAAGAATGAAATGAAGATTTCAATCTCTCTCCATGCCTGCATCTGAACTGACAGGTAACATCTTTCCTGTGTTCCCTTAATAGAAAGGTCATAGTAGTAGATCCTATGAGTCTGACATGTACCCTTCTTTATTCATCCTGTTTATCAGCTGCATTTCAGGTGGAAAAACCCACCACAGCAGCATTTCAGGGAGAAGATGTGAGACTTTTCTTATTGAGTAGGTCAAGCTCTTTATACAGTAATGGAAATACAAAAAAGAATGAGTCTTCCTGCTCACTTAAGCCTGTGCCCAGAATGAAATACAGATGGTCCCCAACTTACAGGAGTTTGACTTTGTGATGGTGAGAATGCACTATGCATTCAGTAGAAACCATCTAGGCTATGATATTTGGTGGCTTTAAAGGCATTTTTGACTTACCATATGTTCAACTTATGACAGGCTTATCTGGACATAACCCCATAGTAAGTAGAGAAACATCTGTATTTGTCATGAACTGTTCATCTACCTTGAAGAAGGAGAGTTTAATGTCCATCTTGGTTTTGACCTATGAATCTTATCAAGAACCTAGGTGTTCTATATGGGGAAATAATGTAACCTTTATAAATACTGAGGTATAAACCTTGGATGTCTTAGTTTCTTCCAAGCCCTAGAAAATCTGGAATAGAAGCATACTACATTTACAGTTCTAGTTTGATTTTTTTCTGTTCCATCTCATTTGAATTTCATATGTCCCTTGTGGTCCAGAAGCCCAAAGAGCAAGGTAGCTGGATGTGGTGATTGGGAAAGCAGTTATAGACAGGGAACTGTCTATATTCCACACACTCCAAACACCTAGTATACTGTTAAATACCCTGTGGGTGGTTCAGTACTAACCTACAATGAGCTAAAGCCACTGCCACATTCCTGTGGATGGGAAAATAGACCAATCCAACAACTCTTTACCCTAATGGCAAGGAGGACAGATTATCTTTGGTCAGTTCAGTGGCATGCATGCACGTGCATATATTCAACTGTATCCATCTATTTTTAAAAGCAGGTCTTCACACCTAAGTGTAATGCTAATCTTTATAATCAAATAGTTTTGCATTAATTACCCGTATGGTCATAGTATGATGAGCCCTAATATAGCACAAATAGTCCTTGTCCTTATACAATCTAAAATGACACTGGCATGGACAAATAATAAGTACACGTGTATATTTGCAACAGTTTTAAAGCTAGCTAGTAACACTACATAAATATTAAGATCTATTGCATTAGAGTTTGGAAAAATCTGGGAGGTATTTTCTTCTCTTTATTCAGAAAGGCTTTGTGAAGCAGGAAGTGTTCAAAAGAGAGAAGATTACTGGGTAAATTAGGGTGGGATGAACATTCCAAATGTGAGTGCTGGGTGGATGAGAAATGGGAATATTCGGGAGCAAGGTGTTTTGTGCAGATGGAGCAGAGGGCAAAGGAGAAACCATAAGGTTAGACAAAGCTTGGAGCAGCACAAAATTTGAGGAACAGTGTGATATGGGCTGTGCTGGAGACAGAGAAAGAATCACCTTAGCTGAAACATGGAGTGCCAGAGGCAGATCAGGAGGTGATACTCCCCTCATCTATAGTAATTCATGTGCTATGCTGTACTTATTAATAAGGAAACAGCTGACTGCTACTGGAGAAGAATGAAGAATTATAGCAGATTAGCTCCTATGGAAAACAAGGGTCAAAAACTGCAGTATCTTGAGAAGATACTTCTTTGATGGGCAGGTCAGGAAAGAACATGAGCAGATGGCCAAGGCCTAGGCCTAGGATAAGTAGCTGGTTCACATTCACACTGAATCACAGTCCTATGGCTGGGATGAGATCTCAGAGAGGAGAGGGGAGATTGAATATTATGTAATTCATAGTTTACTGTTTTAGATGAGGGATTAATTAGGGTTCTGGTGTTGAGGGGTCCTAGTACAAAGATTCTAACATTTATTAGTAATTAAAGGGAGATTGTATTTCAATTATATTTCCTAAGCAGACAGGAAAATATAGGAAACACCAGTCTAAAGTAGTGCTTCAGGATCCGAGATGGTTTAGGAAGTGTACTATTGCTTTTTTTAAAATGAGAGGATTCTACCTTTAGTATGTCTGTGCATAGTCTTGTGGGAAAGCAATAGTTGGGGTATCAACAGATATGAATTGTGGTTCCAGATGTCTTATGTGTAAGTCAAGCTGCCTCCAATTCCCTTTCTGTAAAGCAGAATAATATTTATACCTTAATCTGCCTCTCAGGGATACCATGTTAATAAAAATTATATTTATAAAGTGCCCAGTGTTTCATCAGATATTTTTTAAAACATGTACGTGGAAGTTATTGCTTAACTAGTAGTGATTAACTTGTTGCTGGTGGGAAAAGATAAATCTTCACCTGCTTTTTTTGGCTCCCTGTGTGGGGTTACTAAGGGAATGTTTGTCTGAACCTTTATGTTCTGGGCTGAAAAACAGATTAGAATATGGCAAAAGAGAAATTAGAATGAAAATCCTCCCTTGGTATCTGTATCCATATCCATTAGGCTCCATCATTATTGAACATGGAGAGTAAGTTTTAAAAGACCCAGGACCAGGACCAGCCCTCCAACCTCCAGATGAAGAGTGTGCAGAAGGAATAGGGCAAAGGCAAAGTCTCTTACTGGGGGAAAAACCAGTTCACCTCAAACTTGCTCACAAATCACTATCTGTTACCCAATCTGCCATTCCTAAGGATGGAAGAAGTAAGAAATAATAGTTTTCAAACATTCTAAGAAAGAAAAGCCAAGCCCATTGTTGGGGGAGTGAGGGAATCTATATACCCCATCCTTTTAACACCCACAAGACCTTTGTAGGAACAGACTGGGTGGCACATGCAGCAAAGGGAATAAGAATGTATTAGCAGGAGCTGGACTCATATTAATCTCCATCAGTTATTTCCCTACTGCTGTTACTTCTTTCTTTTTTTTTTAAGATTTTATTTATTTATTTTTAGAGAGGAAAGGGAGGGAGATAGAGAGAAACATCAATGTGCGGTTGCTGGGGGTTATAGCCTGCAACCCAGGCATATACCCTGGCTGGGAATCGAACCTGCGACACTTTGGTTTGCAGCCCACGCTCAATCCACTGAGCTACGCCAGCCAGGGCTTGCTGTTACTTCTTTTTGTTTATTTTCCCCTTGCCATCCTTCTTCCTTTTACTGCTTCTGCTCTATGGCCAAACACATAGAACTTAACATATATAGTTTCTATGTTGCTGCTGTTTTCCTTTTACTATAATCTGAGTGTTATCAACTCTGTACAGAACTGTTTTTATGCAGCTTGTAGGGAAGATGAGATATGAACATAAAGATGGATCAGTTCTTTCTCAATGATTCAATTCAAAATATAAAATGAAAACTTTATTCATATATATTCAAATAGCTATGCAGTGAGATACATGTCTCAAAGTTTTGATGTATAGTGTTACTGAGCATTCTCTGACATCATGGTGCTTAAAATAACATGTTATATGGAGATAGTTTAGTTAGTTTAAATTCCTTCTATATCCCTCATGGGCTTTTTCAGAAACAAAACTTTGGAACTCCTGGAAGTCAGGATGGAAATATGGAGTGGGGATAGAGTGAGGTCAAGGGAAGGGGTGACAAAAAATAATAAAGGCTGGAAATAGAGGCCTAAAGTACCCTAGAGCTCAAGAAGCATCTGGCCGGCATAGCTCCATACAGTCAAAGTAAGAGAATAGAAAAGATAAGGTAGACACATTAAAAAAACTGGAAACTTGATTCCAGAGGAATTAATCATAAGAAGGAGAAAGCCAGATCTCAGCAGCTAGCTTTATCTGTCACTCGAGTTTCCTAAAGTAGATGAACACTGACTACTGGCTACTCACAAAAGCCCATGGCATGCAGTATAGCCATGAGTCAACAATTTTGGGGAATACTTAAGAGAGTCTGATTACAGTAAGCACAACAAAATACAGAACTGTTGTCAGAAGCTGGAAAGCTTGAAGGTTTTAGAGGCAATCTGTTTTCCCCCTTTCCTCATCTTATTTAAACTGGTAATTCCAAAACTTTTCCTGATGAAAAACTACTTTGAATTTCCTGAAGTTTTATGATCACTAATGCAGAAGGGCAAGTAAAAATCAATGGTGGAATGGGGAATTTAGTTAGCAGCAACATTCATGTCCCTTCTAGTAAGCAGCATATAGATAAGCTACGTAAGACCTTGGAGTCTGTTAGTCAATTTAAAACATTTACTGAGCACCCACCATGAGTAAGGTACTGGTGATGGAGCCCATGCTAATTGGCTACTATTCCTCAAAGGGAGAGGTGAATGGTTTACTAAGAAGAATATGGCAAGAAGATCTTGCTTGCAACACATACTAAAAAGTAATTAACTTCATTACAACTTAAAAATGTAACACTTTAGGCTTCAGGTGATTCCACTTGCTCTTCAGTTCAGACCTGGTACTCTCAGAAGCAAAGATGTAGTTGATGGATTCATAAGACAGGTCCCATACCTGCGACGGGGTCAAATTAAATTTTTCAGCTGCCAGCTGGTACTCTTGGGAAAGGTGTGTTGCAAAAACACCCTTATCATCGGTCTGCCAATATAATAAAATTTCAAAATGAATCAGGAAATGATTTTTTAAAAAAACAACTTTTGTTTAGAGGTCACATATTTTCCTATTCACTATGCTTCTTTTAAGAGTCTAAACAGGGGCCTATTAATATAGCCATGTCTCTAAAACTAAATAGGTTTGTTTACCCTTAAAACACACACACATACTCTCTCTCTCTCTCTCTTTCTCTCTGAAGCAGTGCTCTAATCATGGCTGTGTATTAAAATCACCTAGGGAGCTTTTAAAATACATCTGGATGCTCCCCAGATCATATAGAGCAAAATCTCAAGGGATGGGTGCCAGGCATCACTATTTTCCTTTCAATGTTCCCCTAGGTAAAGCCAAACCAGAGTCACCCTGGCTCTTTACAGCTTCTTATGCCCCAGTCTCCTCTCACTCTATTTGGGCCTTATTACCCTCAGGTATGCAAGGCAGTAAGCTAGGTATTGAATGTCTGAACTAATGCAACTCAGGGACTAAAAAAGAACAAAATACTTCACACAAAACACCTTACACAGATCACAGAAGGATGGGCAATGCTGTACCAGAATCCAAAATGATGCTGGTCGTAAGATGGAACTGTCTGACTTTTGATGTTTGAGGTCAAGCAGAGTTCTAGATGAAAAGGGAGAAAAAGCCTTTTATTAAAAGCAGGTTAGCAGACTCATTCATCAAGCAGATACACAAGAAATCTTTCCAAACTATGGTAATAGTTCATTATTTTACAAAATGACCTTTTTTTATGTGTGAAAATTTATAATTCAATGAGTGTGGTTGTGCAGGAAATGTGCAACTTATGGTAGCAACTATGCCAGGCAGGGAATTAATATCCCCTTCACAGTCATGTGCTTCCCTCTTTCTTCTACAAAATGGAGAAAAAAAGAGGAGTGTAAAAGACAGTTACATGAAGAAGCCAGGGGATTGATTATGAGAGTTGCTACACTTCTACCTGGTCTTAAAGTGGAGGCTAAAATAAAGGTAAGATAATGGCAGCACTGCTTGAGGGTTACAGTATTATAAAAAGCCAGTAGGGGAAATTGACCTTTTCCATGGCTTCAAGGAAAACCCCTAACCTTCATTCAGACAACTATCAATCACTGCCTGCTGCAAGTCCATCTTAAGAATGACTTCCATTAGCAAATACCTGCCTTGAAACACTGTCCCAGTCTCCCTAGGCAGAGTAAAATACTTTGCCAACCTGATGGACAGCATACGCTCCCTTGGATAAGGCAGCCTTAACACAGGGCCACTCAGTCCAAGGAATGGCAAACCCAACCTGCCCCCTCACTCCGCTGGGAGCAGAGCTGAGCCATCACACCAAGTAAGATCTCTATCACCATGGTTTCTGTTTTCTAGTTTTGTTGATTTAAAAATTTCCTCAACAAAAAGAAAAAAAGCCTCACCCTTTATGAATTACTGAAAATTCTTTAAATAGTTTAATGGTGATGGAAGGTGACTTAACTTGGGGTGGTGAACACAATCCAACAGATATAGATGATGTATTGTAGAATTGTACTCCTGAAACCTAGACAATTTTATTAACCAGTGTTACCCCAAAAAATTCAATAAAAAGGTTTAAAAAAAGCATACCCACATAAGTGTTCTTGCAAATTGGTAAATTTGTAAATTCAGTTAATTTATCATTCAGTCAATTGCTTCTTTCCCTCTCCAGAAAGGACTTCCTCAACCATCCAACCAAAAGTGGTTATCTCATCATTGTATCAACCTCCTTAATTTTGTACAAAGAACTTAATAATGATATTTTCTAATATATTTGTTTACTGACTCTTACCTATGCTAGAATAGGTTCCTTGAGAAAGAAAGCTTGTCTGTTTTGTTTACTACTCTATTCCCAGCAATTTGAAGACTGACTGGAACAGAGCAGACACTTCATAAATATATGCTGTTAGACAAAAACAACTCCAGGTATATACACGTAGGCAAGTGTGTAGTTGTCAATGGACATATAAAAATATACTTTGAATTTTCCATAATTCTTAATTTTTAAATAAATGTTACATTTTTATAACACATGAATTTGGTTAAAGTCATTTCAAAATACTAGATGCCCCTTATTATTTCAATATAAGACTAAGTTCCAGGAACTGGGGGATCCAACAGTGAACAAGACAGGTAAGGGCCCTGTTTTCATGGAGCTTATAGTCTAATGGGAGCTAAAACTTCTGGTTACCTAAAGGAATGCTCAGAAAGCATATACACCATGCATCTTTTATTTTCTAAATGATATTTATATATTTAGAACAAAACTCTACATACAGGTTACAATCTAGGGGCTGGCGGTGGAAGGGACAGAGGGTTATCTGGACGACCTGAAGCCCTAAGCCTTACCCAGCGGTATCTGGTGTTGCCTTACAAAGTCCACCAGATCCAGGGATCCGCCCTCAGAGTTGTTGAGAAATGTTCCATGCCCGATTCTGTCAGGAATCAAATCCAGGAGTACTTGTGTTTCTTTTTGGGGGTTTGGAATCTCAAAAAAGGAGAGAGCGAGCATCAATAACCTCTTTCAGTGGTTCTTTTTTAAGAAAAATACTTTTATTTGTTCATGCAACACCTAGGACATGCTTACTGGTTTGGGAGAGAGGGAAAAGGAGAGAGGGAGAGAAACATCAATGTGAGAGAAACATCGATTGGTTGCCTCATATGTGCACCAACCGGGAACTGAACCCACAACCTAGGTACGTGCCTTGATGGGGAATCAAACTCATGACCTTTCAGTTTATAGGACAATTCTCAGACCAACTGAGCCACACCAGCCAGGGGTTTCAGTGGTTCTTAAAAGTGCTTTTTTTTATAGCCAGATTGTTCGTCCCTAAGAAGGTAATGCAGACATTCTGGAAAGCTGAACTACTTAAACGTTCCCAGCTCTCCTCTTTGCATTTTATCTTCCCATTCCTTTCCCAATATTCTAGGTTCATTTCAATGATAATAACTATAGCCAATAATAATAATAAACAGTTATTAAGGACCTACTTTGTGCCTTTTGACATAAATTTTCCTTTAAACCTCAAGAATCTTCCAAAATATTAACATGAATTATAGCTCAGAAAAAGTAATTTTCAAAAACAAAATCCCATAACTCTATATGTATATGTATTTTGTGTTGTGTATGTGTATGTGTGTTCATATATATGAGAAAAAGGTCCGGAAAAATATAAACACAAAACTGTTAACAAGATTGACTCGGGAGCACAACTGAAATGAGAAGGGGACCTTTTATGTTTTAATTTTTTTTTCCTTCTACATTATAGTTCTCTACACTTGGATTTTTTTCAGATACATAGTTGTTGTAGTTAAAAATATAAAATATCTTAAAAGTTGTCCAAGGTCATAGAGCTAGTGAATGACAGAATGGTGAAATATGGCTCCATCTGACTCCACGGCCCAGATTCCACACACAGTATGCTCATGTTTTATTTTGATGAGGCTAGCTAAATACATATCACAACCACCATGAAAATGTCTAGCTGAGCTTTTTATCTCCTAATAGTCTAAGAGGCAAATTATAGTAACATACTGAAATAAAATGTTTTAATACCAAGGATTAAACAAGAAAAGCAACATTCACTAAGGTAAAGAGCTTTGATGTTGTGCACAGACCAGAGATAACTGGTTACAGTGACACATATTGGCTGTTTCATTATATTGACCAGTTGTTTCAATCAGGTATCAGCTTGAGTCAAAGATCTTTTTGACCAGAGTATGAAAACATGGAACCTAGATTTTAAGTTCTGCCACTAGATTACCAATTCTTTGCTTGTAGACATGAAAACCACCAGCAATGACAAGAAGCTCCAATTTTCTCCTTAATCTTTAAATCATGATGCTATTCAGCCATCATCTATTACCCTATCTAATACTCAAGATAACCCTATGAGATAAGTAGACTAAGTACTATTTCCTGCATTTATGAAACAAATCCAAACTCATCTAATTGTATATATTATGCAGTGTTTTGTATGTCTAAAGAAAAAAAATAGGAAGAAGGTAAACCATCTGTAAAATGGAGGAAAGTGCAGTAGAGTCCCTTGGTTGCCTCACAGGGATGTGCTTAAGAAAGTGACTGTTCTCCATCCATTACCTGTACATTATATGTCACTTGTTCATGCTGCCAAGGACCCGGGGACTGATGAGCCTTTCCTGTTGAGCCTTATAAAATGATGATGAGCTACTTCTTTTCTTGCTAGTACATATGATAGATACATTGAGGTCCCTTCCCTTCTGAGAATAAGTGAGATGAACTGGTGCTTCTTTCAATGTCAGCTTGCCAACAACAAGATCAATGATGAAAATTCATGCATTTTCTCTAGCAAGATGTCATTAGGTTGTTTTTCAAGACATAGCTGTACCAGAAGTCAACAGCCATCCTCCCAGGAGCCACAAAAACAAAAACAGTAACACAAGGGACCAAGGCAAGCCATGCCTTTATCATTATAATTTATGTTAAAAAAATTCTACTTTCCCCTTCTAAAAATGTTTTTCCAAGCCAGGTATATTTTTAGCCATTTAAAGATGACTATTATTTTTCATATAATCTACCCTCTCCTGCCTGATTTTATAATATTATTTACCTCTGAAAGATGCAATGCCAGCTTCAGACCTGCTTTTTTTGCTTCTAAAAGAGGTTCCAAGAAATCTTTTGCTTGTCCTGCCTTAAAGATAAAAGATCAAATGAGGATGCATGAGAACTTTGGGCAAACTAAGGACCTGAGTAATCTGTCCCAGGAAACAAATAAAATAATGGCAGAAAAAAATGGCACAATGATTCATCCGTATATTTTGTGTATAAAGCACCTACAATGTGCTAGACACGTGGGGAATGCAAAGCTGGCAAAGATACAGTCCCTGTTTTCAAGAATCTTAAGTAACAGTGATCTTGAGGCCAATTAGCCAAGCTAAATACAGCAGTCACCAAATTTTATTTCTGGAAGGTTACCTAGCACAAACAGAATTTCCCACCCCCCAGGACATCTGACAATGTCTAGAAACATTAGGTGTCACAACTGGGAGGTGCTACTGGCATCTAGTGGATAGAGGCCACAAATGCTCCTAAAGACCCTACAATGCACAGGATAGTCCCTATAACAGAATTATTTGGCCCAAAATGCCAATAGTGCCACAGGTGAGATACCCACCTTGAATATGACATTCAAGAAACTCTAGGCCAGCCTTTCTCAACTGGGGTTCTACGAGATAAGCTCTAGCTTTAGACATTCATTTTATATAATGAATTAACTTCTATGTTGAATAGAACTAGCTTGTATACCATCTTTAGAAGAATGGAGAACATAATATTGTCATGTAAATCTTTTTCCTTTTTATGGGGCTTAAATCTCATAGAACCCTGGTTAAGAACAGTTGCTGTAGACATTCTGGTCATCCGAGAGTCTACTGGATCTCTGAAGAATGCAGGACGCTTCAAGTCAATCCTTATCCCATAAATGAACCCAACCTTTTAGAAATAAAATGCATTCAGGAAGAATAACTTACCGTAGGGTCTCCACTGAGGTCAAGACCAAGAACTGTATCTTCAGTAGAAAGGAAGAATTCTTGAGCAAGTTTAACAGTCTCCTTGGCTACTGAAGGGCCACCTCTTCTGTCAACTGATATCAAATATCTTTAATATAAGAAACACAGTTGAAAATGAATATGATAAAAAAGACAGCTCTTGAGTATGGCCAGAGAGCAATGACACATACATCTTACTATAGGAAATACATAGCCTAACTGACATGACATCTTACTTTGCTAGAAAGAATGAGATGTAAATTCCTAAATAGCGCCAAATATCTAATTAAGTGTTCAAATTTCTAACTGTCTGGTGATTTTTTTGTTCAATTATTTAACAGTTCATTCAATTCTGTTAGTCGATGCATTTCAAGTGTCTTTTAATCTACAGCCATTCCCTTTACCCACCTTTCCCACACCTTTTCTTAAATTTATTTGTTGAAGAAACCAGGTCATTTTTCCTAGAAAGTTTCCCACAGTCTAGGTTTTGCCGATTGAATCTCTGTGTTACTAGCATGTTCTCCTGTCTCTTGTATTTCCTATAAACTGGAAATTGAATCTAATCTAGAGGCTTAATCAGATCAAATTTTTTGGCAAGAGTATTTCATAGGTAGTATTGTGTTCTTTTATCAGGGGGCTTAGATCCATTATTTTATAAGGATGACAAAAAACTTGTAATATTCTAACATGTGTCCAATAGCTGATACATATATTGGCTGGAATTCTACAAGGAATCTAATACTCAGAGAACCCCTGTTAATATTGTATGATTTTCCTCCAGCACTCATTAGTTTATCTATTTACTCACAAAATAAAGAAATTTCTCCAGCATTTATTTATTTACAGAATTTGGATCAACTATATATCAATTCCATATCTTTTTTTTTTCATTTAACAATTTCTCCTGCCATTAAATAATGTTACAAAACAATGTAAATCATATGAACATAACAATGTAATTGTGTTCTGATTGCTGGACATTTTAGGATCCTTTCTACCTTTTGTTATAAATAACACTACAATGAAGAATCTTACACAGAAATCAATCTATTTCCTTAGGATATATGTTTAGAAGATAATTACTGGGTCAGAGGGGAAAATATTTTCATAGATCTTAATACATATTGCTCTTTGGAGAGGTTTTATTTATTATATATAATCACCAACAGTGTAAGTTCACAAACACTGGTTATTACCCTCTTTTGGTGTGGGGGGGGGATGTTGAAATGCTACTATATTTCTTTTTTAAATTATCTGATTATAATGGCCAGTTGTATGTCTTTATTTTCTCAATTTTTGTCTTTTGGGTGGTCTTTTAAATTGGGGTATTAGTCTAGTTAAGATTAATTCTTAGAGATTTAATAGCCAGAAATGCTACAGCTAGCATTCTTCCTTGGAGGACCTATTGAGACCTGCCAGTTCTATTTTAAGTACTGGATGTATAGTGGTGAATCAAAAGACAAGGTTTGTGGCCTCACTGAATTTACACCCTGGGGGTGAGCATGTATACACAAATAAAACAAAATAGTTTCTGATCTGGTTAAAAAGAATTCCATAAAGGAAATAAGTGGGGTGACTAGAGGATCTGGGGAGGGCACTTTAGATAAAGTGGTAATGGAAGGCCCTCTTGAGGAAGTGACAGCTGAATTGAGACCTGAATAATGAGAAGATGCTAGCCATCCAAGGAAATGGTTGGTGAAAGTGTGTTCTAGGCACATTACAGGAAGGTGTTGAGGTGGGATAGTCTCAGACTATCTGGGGAACAGAGACACCAGTGCATAACAAGTAACAAGTGGTCCAGGTGAGGCTGTTGAAGTAAGAGAGGCAGTCAGATCATGTGGGACCTTGGAGGCTGCAGTAAGAAGTCTAGGTTTTAGCTGAGAGCAATGGAAAGCCATCATAGCTCACTATGGCAGCAGTACTCAGAATTTTATTGCCATATGAATAAATTCAGAACTGCACTCTCAACATTAAAGAACAGGGTTCTTGACTCTGTTTTTATGTATTATAAGATAAAAATCAGTTGGTTGATTTATAAAAGTCCATTATACCCATAGTCGAAGTAGTAAAATTTTCACACATTCTGGGTTTTTAAATGGTGACCACCAAAGGACAATGCTTCTTACCTAACATCAATGTCTAAGTCTTGTTTAGACTGTTTTATACCCTCAAGTACAGATTCCACATAAGTTTTTTTAGTCATTCCTGAAAAGGACACAAAGAAAACATGTAAAGAGATCATCAACTATTTCATCCTTCAACGTTAGCATCCCTATGTGAACAATTACATTTTCACTTTGTGTTGAGACAAAAGCATAATAAAAGAAATTAAATCATGGCCCTTACTGATATATTTTAGTAAATACTAACTGAACTTTAATAAATTTGGAAAAAAATGAAGTACTACATAAATAAAATTTTTAAAATACACACAAAATACCAGTCCATTTAAAAATTATTCTTAGATTCAATAGACATAAAATTACTGTCACAGATTATTGTGAAAATTTTTTAATGTTCTAACAAAATAACAAGTCCTATTCTAAAGCCTGTTCTTAAAAAAACAAACAAACAAGAAGTATATTTCTCTACTAGCAGAATGTTTTCCTGCTGGCCCAGAAAAAAATCTTGAGTTCCTTTCTCCTCAATTCTGTTCAGGTTCAGTGTTTCTCATCTAGGCCACTAGAGAAATTCTTAAAGTTTGGGTGCTTTAATTCTCTCCTGGGGGACTCTGAAAGAGCACTCTCCAGAACAACCTCATCTAAATACTCTCATATGCTTACTTTTGGTGGGAAGTCTCTAGTAAAGCTCAGGCAATTATAAAGAAGAAAAATAAAAATAACACATAATCCTACCACTCAAAGATAACCACTCTCTTTGTATATATATGTGTGTGTGTATATATATATTTTTTACTAGGTGGGATGCTACTAGGTATACATGTATTTTGTCCAGTCATTTAACACTATCTTCTGAGCATATCTCCATATCATTAGAGTGTCTCTGCAACTATTTTTAATGGTTGCCTAATATTCCACTAACCTCTTTAACAGTTCCCCTATTGTTACATACTTAGGTTAACACCTCCCTTTTGAATCTCTTTTTAAAAAGCAAATCAGCTCTAATAATTGGCAGGTTTTTTCCATCCTTCTCTTTCACTACCCTCACCATCATAACTTGGAACTGATTCTGCAGTTTAAAAATGTGAGATAAAAATCTTCTGCTGCCCTGGCTAGTGTGGCTTAGTGGATTGAGTGCTGACCTATGAACCAAAGGGTTGCAGGTTCCATTCCTGGTCAGGGCACATGCCTGGGTTTCAGGACAGGTCCCCAGTAGGGGGCTTGAGGGAGGCAGCCACACATTGATGTTTCTCTCCCTCTTTCTCCCTCCCCTTCCCTCTGGAAATGAATAAATGAAAATCTTTAAAAAATTAAAAAATTAAAAAGAATCTTCTGCTTGTCCCAGTTGCAAAACACTTACTTTATTATATGAAGTTGCAAAAATTGTACCCCCTGAATGGTTACCAGGCTACATATGTCAGGGTACAAGATGACAGGCAGGATGTCTTCAGGTCACAAAGTGCTAATAGGGACCCGAAGATCCTACATAATATCTCTTGATACTACCCTTATGGAAAGAGGGTCCCAGGAAATTTCTGCAGACCACATCCAGATCTGCTTATCTCCATCCAGAGAGGTTCCACCACATCATGGCTTTCTTCTGGCCTAAGATACTATTTGTCCTTGAGAAGTGACTGAATGACCTCATTTTAGTGACTGTCATAAAACATGATCCTACATCTACTCAGTGGCCTTGTCTCGCAAGTGCTCTTGATACAGAGAGCAAGAGTTAGCCTATGTTTAAGACAATGCAACTATAAGAAGCAAATTTCCTTTTCTCATAGTGAAAAAAACAAACAAGAAAAACAAACAAAATTTTTGTAAGCCTTTTTATTTTCCTTAAACCTGACTTAATGTTTAAAGAATAACTTATAATAAATAATACCTGACTTAATGTTTTAAAGAATAACTTATTCATTTAAAAATATTTTTTAAAGATGCTATTTATTTTTAGAGAGAGGGGAAGGGAGGGAGAAAGAGGGAGAGAAACATCTATGTGAAAGAAACATAAACTAGTTGCCTCTTGCACACATCCCAACTGGGAACTGAACCTGTGACCCAGGCATGTGCCCTGACCAGGAATCAAACCAACAACCTTTCCCTTGGTAGGACGATGCCCAACTGAGCCACACCAGTCAGAGCAGAATAACTCACTCATTAATAATGTACATCATAAGTGTACATCTTAAGATTTGGAAAGCTGATTCTATTTTTACAATAGAGTAAAAGTAAGTGCTTTGTATTCTCAACTTGTCAACACATGAATGACAGAGCACACAGAGAATATATTGGCTGAGAAGAAATTATATTCTACCTGTAGTATTTTCTACTCTAGGTGTGCTCCTTAGTTCCAGGTACTTGATGCCATCATCTGCAAATTCTTTAATGACATCTTTTGTGACCTGAAAAATAAAAACAATGCACATAATACTGATAATATAGGTATAAGGGTCCCAATGAAAGTGCCAAATGCTACAGCTTTATTTCATTCATTAAATTTGACTTGCAAGTCATGTAATTAAGATTATCTGCTTTGTTACACTCCTGGTGGAGATCACAACATAAATGAAAAATTTCCAGTATCTTCTATCACCCCCTATCATTTCTACATTAAATTCAAATCTGCATATCATTTGCACTTTTTGTTTTTTTCCCTCCTTTTAACCATTTTCTATTTCCTAGTGTTCATAACAAATTGATAAAACAGAAATGAGGCAAAACTATAACTAGTTAAAACCATCTATGAGTGTGTAGTACTAGACAGGCACGTATGGAAATGAACACCTAATATTAGGCATTATTGATGTACCATTCAGAGTCATGGCTTAAAGTTCTTATTCAAGTTATTTAGAAATAAGTTGTATTTTTCAACAAATTCTTTAGGCAGGGTTAAATTTTCCTTAGAGGTACTTAGGAAAATTCCTCATAAGCAAAGAAAACAGGTAATAAATTTAAGTCAAACTGTATGTAGTTTAGCACAAATCTCAACAATCCAAAAATTACTAAATGACCAGGGTAAATTATATGTAAAGGCTGAAGGTATGTTTTCCTTCTCTGACATCAATCCTAAAAAAATATCAAATCTAAAAGAAAAAATACCAAGTTGGGGATACTGTGACAACATGCCCTATTTAGTCCTTACAGTTGGACTCCAAACCTTAACCGGCTTTGACTACATGCCCATTGGCAGGTAAGTGAACAAGGGGTTGGCTGGTTGTGCAGACAGTGCCTAATGGGGTGGCACTACCTTAGTGGATTCACTGGAACCCAAAGTCTGAGTCTCGTCTTTTTTTTTTAATTAAAAGCAAAAAGGAATTTATAATAATATAAATATGATGGGTGGCTTGGATTCACCAGGGGACCTAGAGAATCACCCTCAGAGACCACACACCTTACAACAACACAACACAACACTACACCAAGAGGTACTACTGCTTCCTCCACCACCGAACATAAGCCTGCACCTTCTACATACTAGACCAAACGGCAGTGCTTCTCTAGGAACTCTACACTGCTGCTTTTGCCACCATCAGATTGTGGGACTCATTTCTGCAGGTTGAGGAATTTGCATCTTGTCATTGCTTCAGAGTCCCCAAATCATTCTACCCCAGCTGACAGGAGACTAATGCAGAAGCCTATTTGTTAACGTGTGCACTGACAAGGAGGGTATGAAGTGGCTGTTCTTCTCAGCAACTGCAGTGATCATATCTACTATTCTGGGCACCCCTCATCTTGGTGGTAAGATACCTGTGACACCAAATGAGTAACAGAAGTTTGCTGGCAAGTATGGAATGAGAGCAATGGAAGATTTACCTAGGCCACAGTGAAGCCTGTGAAATGATCCCTACCCCATGTCCAAGAATACTTCCTTGGGGTCCACATCTGTGTATCTCAAATTCAGCTCTGACTAAAAACTCCTCAGGTGCAGGGACCGTCAATCTATCTTTATATCCCCTAGCCTCTTGCACTGGAACACTTTGGGCAGTCAGTCAACATTTGCTGAACTAAACTTTTAGACTCAACTCTCCTTCAAAAGGTGATTTATTGTTTATTGTGAGGATCAATCTTGGCCAAGGAGGAAAATTCTGTCTTGACCAGCCAAAAGTTAGTTCTTTAGAAAAACAAGTTATACTTCTTACTTTGCATTTTTCTAATGATTAAGAACACTCTCAGGATTTTGTTTTTCTTCATTTATAAAGAGGGCATTTTAAAATGCCATCCAAGTCAGATCAATGATACAGAAGCCAATCTTCCATACCATGGAAACTGTAGGCTCATGGAACTTCAGATATGAGAACACAGTGGTGTCTTTTAGTCCTTCATTCTCAGAGAAAGGAACTATTTCCCTAGGGAGTAGTAATTCAATTTCTAGGCACTTCTTGAACTTCCTCACTCTCTATAACATCCACCTAGGCAGTGAAAAATCTTCCAAGCAATAGGGATAAAACCTTATCAAAGTCATTTCTATCTGTGGTTAACTATTATGGAAAATATTACCAGATTTTCTCCTCCATACTATCCTCCATCTAACAGAAGATACGCATCTAGTTCTATCCTCATATCTTTTACAATGAACATAGCGTTTTGATACTAGCTCTTACACAAATGTCTTACATTAGTTTTGAAAAGAGTTGTCATAAAAAAAGTAGAAAACATTTTTATCAGACTTGATGCAACAAGAGAAAAGTATAAATTAATAATTTTTAACTTGTTTAAAAATTGCTTTGTTCCTTACCATTAAAATATCTTCAGGGCTAGTAGTAAGCTGATGAATAATCTGAAACATCTGGAAACATCTATAACATTAATGAAAAGCTTTAAAATACTCTAGTCATCGAAAGCTCAAGATGAACTCATTAAGTAATTAAATTAATAGATTTTAGGCTAGTAGTAATTATATATTTATTTAAAAAACTACAGAACACCTTCTTTGAAAATTACATTGATCTGGAAAGATAAATGGCTAAAAATAAAACATTACTGATATATATTTTTTAAAGATTGTATTTATTTTTTTTTAGAGAGAAGGGAGGGAGAAAGAGAGAGAGAAACATCAATGTGAGGTTGCTGGGGGCCGTGGCCTGCAACCCAGGCATGTGCCCTGACTGGGAATCGAAACTGCGACACTTTGGTTCGCAGCCTGCACTCAATCCACTGAGCTACGCCAGCCAGGGCTACATTACTGATATTTTTAAGTGGGAAATACTAATTTCTTTTCTCCACCACGTCAGCCCCTCCCCACCCTCTGCTGGTAGGAACAAATAAAGAAAAAATCAGTAATCCTGTACTTTCAAGTCTAAAGAATATTTCAATACAGTATAACTTTACAAACAATATAAATCATTAAAAATATTGTCAACAGCTTGACAACTGGAAAAAATGCTGTCAAGTTATACTCTCCATACTAGATGGATACCCTATTCTTTTAATTATTAAAATCTGAGTTCTTACATACTATTTACAATGATAGAGAAAAAAAGTGTGTCCAGAATCTGCCCAAACTCACTCTTCTAAAGTTCTTTTCTTTCCCTTATCAATCATAGTCATTTGATCATGAATTTTAAGACCTGGTTTCTTAGCTATTAATTTCTTCATTGTATTAGAACTGATGGATCCATTCAAGTGGGCATGAAGTTCCTAAAAACAAAAGAATACAATCAGTGCAACATATCAAGATTCCACTAGATTCATAGTATTATACCAGGTACTTGATGTTTATAGTCTGTAGTAGGCAGGTTGCCTATTACATTTAGCTATATAACTTTTAAAGTTTACAAATTATACCTATAAAATTTACTTTTCTTTTGTGAAAAGAAACAACACAGAAGACATTATAACTGGCAACCACTCTAGAATTTTGTGGTTGAATTCTCACCACTTTAGGTAATTCTGAGTAAAAGGTTCTCTTCCATTGCTGCTGGTCTTCTGCCTCCAACATGATTTAGCAGAATAAAAGGTCTTTCTCCAAACACTCTTATTATTGGTATGAAAAATACAATATATTTCAGCCAGCAAATTTTTTGGTCTTGAATTTCCTTCAGATTGCTTTATTTCCACACATTTTTCTAAGATTAGCTGTAAATGTTGCTCTGGGCTCAGCTTCACCTATTCAAACAAATGTGAACATTTTCAGATGTTGACATAAAAGTAAAGAAACAGGATTTTGCTAATTTATTCCTTAAAAGACAAAAGTCCCTCCAAAGCTAATTTAAATTAGCTAATAATTTGAACTAGAAATAAGAAAACATAAGAGGTGGATTACAATCTGAAATGTTGGGTGTAGTCCTTATGAATTAGCATTTTCTAGAAAACTACTTCTAAAACTAGAAATTTATAAGGCCTATAAAAAAGTTTATATTTTTTAATTATTTAAAATATATAAAGGAAGAGCAGCAGCGTTGGCTTCAATGGACCTGTTAGTCCTTTTACTATTCTTGCAGTTAGTAGCCATGTGGCCTTTGTCACTTATCCTCACAGCTTCAGTTTCCTTATTTGTAAAAAATTGATAAAAATGTACGGTAGCTGTGATGATTGATACAGTAATTGAAATTCCCCTCTTGTATGCTCCCATATAACCAGTGACTACCTTTCACTCAATGCTTTATCATATTGTCTCTTAATCACTGATTTACTTGTTTTTCTCCTTCACCAGACTATAAGCTTTCTAAGGACAAGGACCATGTGTAGTACCTAACACAGTGCCTAGCACATTACAGATGATAAATAAATCCTAATTTTTCCTTTGCCTCCAAAGATGGCTTATACATTAAGATAAAATTTCAAATGAAATTTAGTGATTTTTCAAAGTAGTCACCTTGACTCTCTGGGTTGTCATATATTAATGATGATGTTGATAATAATAGCAGTTTCAATTCAGAGCCTATGGAATATGTGACAAGCACTTTTAATAATATAATCTTTAATCTCACTGATAACCTCACAGAATAAATATTACATTTATTACCACATTATAAAACAATAAATTTACACTGAGAGGGATTAAATAATTTACCAAGATATTAAAATAGGCAATAAAGAAAATAGTTTGTAAGGACTAGACAGAACCATGAGATATCCAAAGAAAGGCCAACTCAGTATAAGTTAAAAGTGGTATTTCAATGGAATACCACATTGTAAGTGCTTAGTAAATAGTAATGAATGAAAAATATGGAATGTTTAATCAATACATTTAATATCTCTACTGAAGCACATAAAACATGTCATTAAAAAGCAAAAACATACTTTATCTTACATAAGTCAAACTGAATTACAAAGTAAATGTTAATCAAAATACTCTCAAAATTATTACTTAGAAATTGATTTTTAAAGTTCATGAAAGACTTAACTTGTAAAATTATCCAGAAAAAACTTCTGAACCTCAGAAGAGTAATACCTAAAATGGTGAAGATCTGAGTAAAAGTTTTGGTATGAACAGAACTTGGTATGGTCTTTTTGGAAAGCAATTTGGCTACATTTATCAACATACACAAACCCACATATTTATTGACCCAGTAATTCTACTGTTAAGAATTTATCTTTTATAGGACATGTACAAATACATTTCTTGTAGTATTACTTATAATAGCAAAAAATTGGAAACAACCTAAATGCCCATTAGTGGGGTACTGGCTAAATTAATTATATGTATCCACCCAATTGACTATATGAAAAGACTTCTACAATATAATGTTACTTCCAAAAAGTAAGTTGCACATTATATGATTTATAAAGATGACATAAGTAAAGCATGCATGCATGTATACATACAAATACACTGTCTTATGTATTTATAGCTTTAGTCCTAAAACACCTATGAAAGGGCACATAGAAAACTGTTACCACTAGAATGTGGGTTGGAAATGGCAAAGGTTGGGAGAGAATTTTTACTTTATGTCATATAGTTTTGTGCAATTTTAAGGTTTAACAACAAGCATATAATACCTGATTACTTTGGAAATACTTTTAATAAATTAAAAATTTTAATAAATTTAGATAATTTACTTAATTTAATTAAATTTTAATAATTTAACAAATTAATCATTTATTATAATTGTCTATAAAATAATTCTTTAAAATCTTGCAAAACAGCTTTATTATTATGAATTGTTAGGAAAGAACTTTTATGGTTAGACAACAGAATGAGAGCCTAAAAAAGCCAGTTAAGGCCCTGGCGAGGTAGCTCAGTTGGTTAGAGCATTGTCCTGATTATCAACAAGGTTGTGAGTTCTTGATTCCCAGTCAGGACACATAAGAATCCACCAATGAATGCACAAATAAGTGGAACAACAAATGGATGTTTCTCTCTCTCTCCCTTCCCCTTCCTTTCTCTCTTAAAAATCAATAATTTTTTAAAGATTTTATTTATTTATTTTTAGAGAGGGAAGGGAGGGAGAGAGAAACATCAATTTCCAGTTGCATGGGGCCGTGGCCTGCAACCCAGGCATGTGCCCTGACTGGCAATCAAACCTGTGATGCTTTGGTTTGCAGCCCAAGCTCAATCCATTGAGCTATGCCAGCCAGGGCAATAATTTTTTTTTTAAAGAGCTCTTAAGAGGCTGGTAACATCTTACTCTAGGATCCTGACCTTACTTTGGGCCAGATTCAAACCCTCTTCCAGCACTGGCTACAATGTTAACCTATGGAAATTTGAAAGCCACCAAAACAAGCACAATCTTTGCACATTTTAAAATAATTGCTGTTTCACTGATCCTTGCCTAAGACACTACTAGTGATAGTACCACTCCTTGGCAAATTCAACTTTCCTAGGCTGGATTTTGCATGGGCAAGAAAAAGCTGTGGTGAGAGTTGAGGAAGGGATAGGCAACATACTGAGATAAGATCTTTCTACATTTGTACTAATAGTTTATCAAGTAGGAGAAGGATGAGAGCCAAGTCTCCTGTGTCAAGAGTACTTTTTTCATGACAGTAGGTAGAGGGGGTTCAGAATAATAAACTTATTTGTTAGTATTTATTAAGCACTTCTATGAAACAAGCACTATCCTAAGTGTCTGTCTGAATCTTCACAACAACCCCTAAGGTAGTATTACTCCCATTTTACATAAGAACAAACAGATTTAAAAAATAATAACCAGAAAACCATCCTAAGATAATCAAATCATAAATTTTGCTCTCTTCTTTCTTTTTGAATCACTTTTCTTGATTTCTGCTCTTTACCAGAAAATATTTCTAATGTATACATATATCATATACATTTTACTAACATCATTAAAATATCATTTCTATAATGCTATATATTTTTTTCAAAGCCCTACAACTCTTTTTTTCTCCTCTTTGGTCCTCAGTCAACTTGAGGCAACTCACAAAGCAGACTTAGTCCCCTCATTTTAGAGATGAGGATCCCTCAGCTCAGCATGCTCAGGGGAGTCCTTCTCCCATTCCCTTCAAAGGCAATTCCAAACTCTTCAAGGTTTCCCCTACACCCAACTGCTTCACATTGAAGTGACAACCCAGACACCAGCTTTACAGAGACAACAGGAGTCATCAGGCATGAATTCCCTCTATTTCTCTCTCCCCTCCCCCACACTTACACTTATCTTTATCTACACCCCTTCTTCCCTCAGGAGTCAGAGAAAAAGGATTCATTCTCTTGTCTCCCAGACTAATCTGGGCCCAGAACCCCATTCGTTCCCATATATCCTAATTCATTACTCCACTAGTAAATCTCACTTTTCTGTTCCTCCAACCTCTCTCTCTCCACTGGCTTATTTTGCTCAGGGGACTAACATGCAAATATAGTTAGTATTTGCTTCCACCTAAAAGAAAAATAACCCCAACTTTCTTTCACTCCACAATGCTCTTTAACTACTTGCCCTTTCTCTCCTTTTCTTCTGAACTAAGGTCCTTGAAAGTGTAATTTAGAATGACTGCCTCCATTTACCTATCTCCCATTCACTGTAACACAGTTTTGGCCCTTACTGCTCAACGGAAGTTGCTCTCCCTAAGATTATTAATAGGTCTTAAACATTAGACCTAAATGAAACTTTTCAACTAACAAAACTTTACCCTGACTCAAACTTTTGAGTTCCAGTATTCAAATTCAAACTGGCTGGACTTCAAAACTCATACTTTTAACCATTATGCTCTACTGCTTCTAGGTAGCCACACCTATAGTTATCCATCTCAGCCCTCAGTTTCCAAATCCTAATTAATAAATTATAAGTTTCCTTAACATCTCTGGAGGCAGTTCTCTACTGGTGATGACACCCAGACACCCAATTCAGAAATTTGATAGTTATTTTAAACCCCCCAAAAGACTCAAACCATATGAGAGAATAATCATCTCTCTTCCACAATTCCCTTACTACCCTAGAGTCACAGAACTTTGAAAGTGGAGGGGAATGTCATTTTATAGCAGAGAAATGGGCTGAGTAGTTTACTGTTAGCCTAGCACAGAGCCAGGAATACAGGAAATAGTACATATCTGTGGGGAAAAACTTATCGGGTGAATCACAACCTCTGTAAAGGTTTGTTCATTTTGCACCTGCCCTCGCTGACTTGTTTCCAGACTCAAATGGCATGTCTTTGGTACCAATTGCAGGGGTGTCCAACCCTTGGCCAAGGATGGCTATGAATGCGGCACAACACAAAATTGTGAATTTACTTAAATCTCCTTTTTTGCTCATCAGTTTTCATTAGTGCCTTTGTACTTAATGTGTGGGCCAGACACACCAACAGGTTGGATACCCCTGAATTAAAGCATTAAATTAGCACGAGTAGTTAGTATCCGAGGAACTACCCCGTCTACTTGCCCACCAACGTCGGTGGTGTAGATCTTTCCCCCCAAGTCCTGGCTGTCAGCCCCCACAGACTCACCTTTAAAATCTGTCAACAGTTCAGTCAACTATGAGAATTTAGATAAAACTTTTCTTTCATACGGAAAAGCTTGTTGAAAACTGACAAAACGTGCTTCCCTGACACAGTTAACTTGTCCACAATAAGCCGTAGCGAGCAGTCTTCCCGCGAAAATGCAGTCCCAGAGAATCAAATAGTCAACCACAGTCAAATTTTAGTATAAACTACAACCTCCTCAATTCAGATTAGGGAGGCACTCTCCTCCCGGAAGTGACGCATACTAATCACCGGAAGGGGAGTCAAGGTGGAGGGGTTTTTACGAATACAAGTCCGCGAGGTGCGTAACTAGAACCGAAGAGCCGCTCACCACCGTGAGGGACAGCGGCTCTTCTGTGTCTTCTGGCCATGGGCCCGCGGAGTCGCGGGCGTCGAGCTGGAGCAGTGCAGCACACCAACAATAGCAGCGCCCTCAGCAAAAGTTCCCTGGCAGCGTACGGGTACGTACAAGACACTTATGCTGCGTTGCTAGTTCCGGGGACCGCGCGCCGCGCGCCGCTTATCCATCGCGGCTACTATGTCCGCGCACGCGCAGTAAGGCACTGCGTGCGTGTCTTCCTGGAACGTACGGGCGCTACCTCCGGTGGACTTCGCGCCCAGATCTTGTCGCTGGGTGCCGGCTCAGACTCGCTTTATTTTCGCCTTAAAACTGAAGGCCGGCTGTCCTGGGCTGCTGTCTGGGAGGTAGATTTTCCCGACGTGGCGCAGCGCAAAGCGGAGAAGATTCGAGAAACGCCGGAATTGTGCGCGGTCACCGGGCCAATCCAGAGCCGGAACCCAGGGTCTGCGTTGTTCTTTGAGAGCTTGGACTACCGCATCCTGGGCTTGGACCTGAGGCAGGTCGAGCGATTGGACCACGCCCTGGCTGCCGCAGGCCTTGATACGGCAGCACCCACTTTGCTTCTGGCTGAGGCCGTGCTGACCTACCTGGAGCCAGATAATGCCGCGGCCCTCATATCCTGGGCAGCCCAGCGTTTTCCTGATGCTCACTTCGTGGTCTACGAGCAGATGAGGCCACATGACACCTTTGGTCAGTTCATGCAGCAACATTTTCAGCAGCTAAATTCTCCTCTGCATGGCCTGGACCGCTTTCCTGATGTGGAGTCCCAGCAGCGCCGCTTCCTTCAGGCAGGCTGGACTGCCTGCAGTGCTATGGACATGAATGAATTCTATCGCTGCTTTGTACCCTCAGAAGAACGCTGGCGCATGGAAAATCTTGAACCCTTTGACGAGTTTGAGGAGTGGCATCTGAAGTGTGCCCACTATTTCATTCTGGCCGCTTCTAAGGGAGACACTCTCTCCCAAACTTTGGTGTTTCCATCCTCAAAGGTGTTTCCTCGGGTAGACCCTGCTTCCCCTTCAGGGACCCTCTCCGCCAGTGTAGTCACTAGTGACAGCCAGAGTCCAGACTTTAAAAGATATGGCCATGCCTCTGTCCTTTTGAGCCCAGGCATTATTCTCAGTGTAGGTGGATTTGGAGAGCAGGAGGGGCGGCACTGCCGAATCAGCAAGTTTCACTTGCTCTCAAAATACTGTGACTTTGAATGGAAAGGCAAACAAATATGCAGTTGGGGAATTGGAACTCAGTGGGATGGACGCCTTTATCACACCATGACAAAACTTTCAGATACTCAAGTTCTGGTTTTGGGAGGGAGACTGTCCCCAGTAACTCCAGCCTTGGGAATTCTCCAACTTCATTTTTTTAAAAGTGAGGATAATAGTACTGAGGATCTAAATGTAACAGTAACAAAGGCTGGCCCGGAAGAAGATTCTACTTTGTCATGTTGGCGACATTCAACAACAGAAGTGTTCTATAAGAATCAGAAATATTTGTTTGTGTATGGGGGTCGAAGTGTGGTGGAACATGTACTAAGTGACTGGCATTTTCTACATGTGGTGACAATGACTTGGGTCAGGGTCCCAGTGGAGGGGGAGACACCTGCAGGTCGGCATTCCCACAGTGCCTGCAGCTGGCAAGGGGGAGCCCTTATTGCTGGAGGTCTAGGTGCTTCTGAGGAGCCATTGAGCTCTGTACTTTTCCTGAAACCAGTCACTTGTGGATTCCTCTGGGAATCAGTAGACATCCAGCCTCCCATTACTCCAAGGTACTCCCACACAGCTCATGTGCTTAATGGGAATCTTCTGCTGGTTGGAGGGGTCTGGATTCATTCCCCCTCAGTTCCTGGGGTGACTGTTATCAATTTGACTACAGGATTGAGCTCTGAGTATCAGATTGACACAACATGTGTGCCATGGCCATTAATGCTACATAACCATACCAGCATACTCCTTTCTGAAGAGCAACAACTCCTGCTCCTTGGAGGTGGTGGGAACTGCTTTTCCTTTGGCACCTACTTCAACCCTCATGCAGTAACATTAGATTTTTCTTCCTTGAGTGCTGGGCAGTAAGGACTGGACTTTTGATATATTCAGGACCCATTAAAGTTGACAATAAAGGTTTCCACAAGTAGGATTTGACTTTGGCTGTAGGTCTGACCACACCCTCTATGCCCCATCTTTTAAAAAAATTTCTTTTATCAGCACTACTCTCTAGGGAAATCTGAAAGGTTGTTAAAACACATACCATCTCCAGAGAGATAGTACAAAAAAAACGTAAGTAAGCCTGTCTTAAGAGAGTAGTCATACAATCCTAGTGTAGGAATTGGGCCTTTGGATCCCCATGTCTTCCTCCCATTCTCTAATCTATGTTTATCCATTTATTGAGTTATGACAACCTTTAACCTAAGTCAAGTGAAAAATTTTTCACTCCAAGTCTGTCATTTGAGATGGTACCTTGGAAAAAGTTTCACACAGATTTTTGGTAAGAATCTAAGGTTGAATATAGTTCAAGGGTCATGGCACATTGACCTCATTCTTTATGAATGTAACCTAAAATGAACCCAGTTGCAGTTTGATTAAAGCATTGTTCCATTTTATTCAGCAGAGAACTCTGGGATAGCTTTAACAATAATTGTAGGACTTTATTGAAAAATACTCCTTTGTTCCATTTTTGCCACTGGTTCCATATTTATTTAGGTTCATGAATACTTGTAAAGCAGACAATGATGCTTCAATTCATTATGTGCATGGTATAATGCTTTGCTTCATATCTATTCTCCACCCTTCACTATGATCTATACCAGAGGAGGCTGACTCAGGGAATACATCACTGAGTTTTCCTTATCTCTAGTTTGTGGTGAATTCAGCCAGTCAGAGGCACAAGAGGGAGCTGTAGGGCAGGAAGAGTGAGTTGTAATTCACAGTGTTTCTCCTACTGATCTACAAGTTGGCAAAGTCTGTATTCTATCAAAAGCCACAGCTCCTATCATGTAATCCTCTTCTATAAGATACTGCTCTAATTCTGCAACACCCCAGGTTCCAGTAATTGTTTCTCCCTACCTTTTCAGGCCTAGGAGTTGTATTAACTCTCTGTTAGGCCTCAGCTGCACTGTTCAATATAATAGCCATTGACACAGAATCCTCTTTCCCTAAATATTTTTATGATAACTCCATATAAATGAATGTGAAAAGTGATTAATATAAAAACTGAGTAGCAAATACTACCCTAAGTGTACAGAGAGGACATTGCTGGCTTTGTTAGATGAAAGCTCCCTGAAGAACACCATTGTCTAGCTTCAGCTTCATCGAGACTGCAAGAGCACTTTCAAGGGAAGTTGTAAGTTATGGACGTGAGTGCTAGGAAACAAGGCTTACTACAGCTAGACATCTGTCCAGACTACCGGTGGCTACTAGATAATGCAGGAATATGATCAGAAGGGGGAGAGGCTGCTTTGTATTTCCTTTTTCTAAGTTCACTACAGCCTACCTGTAACTTTGAAAAATGAAAGGAGCATATGAAAGCAGAACATTGATGAAATGAATGTTCTCAGCTATGTAATGGTACCAGAATTCTAATCTAGAAATGACTCCGAAACCCAGGGAATGACTTCTATAATGCTACCTTTTAGATGGTGCCATCAACCATTATTATTTCATTACTTTTGGGGGAAAAAAAGAAGGTGGTGGTGGAATCATAAAGAGAATGTGAATGTGTGCCAGAGCCAAATTAGTACAGTGGTGCCTGTTCTCTTGAGAACTGCCCAGTATGATACATTATGACTAATCAAACTTGTTTCCAGAGAAACAACCACCTTTTTTGTGATTACCAGATTAAGCATGCCCTTTACTTTTAACCCTACACATGTATCATACTCAGTTAGGAATTAGTTATTTCTCAAGCTCTACTCATTACAGCACTTAGAAGTTTTGTCACCAATGTTTACTCTGCCTTTGGAACAGTGCTCTGTGTAGACTGGTGCAGGATCCCCGTTTCATAACAGTAATCTGCACCAATTAGAGGTGTGGGCCAGATTGAGAGCTCAAGTTGGATAATTTTGCTTCTCCATTTCACCTCTGAACATTTTTGTCCTAAAATTCTGGAACGGAGCTCTGGGGTAGTTATGAGAGTTAATGAAAGGCCTTTTCCTTGTTTATTAAATGTAGTTCTTTTTAGACCAGAAAAACTAAGGAAAGGAGAGAAATTCTTACATTGAATCTCTACTGGTAGGGCCTTGCTAGTATTATACTAGTGAAGATGTGAAAACAGGTTAAGAATAACTTCTGGAATATGTTCTTCAAAGGCTAGTGCTGCCATTTCCTTGTGTGTTTTTAGGATTTTATCACTGAATGTCCATTTTTCATCTTTCTACAGATTTAATCCTCCTTAGTGATATTAGGAAGTTAACATGTAACATGTGTTTCAGTGCCCAGGCATTGCCTTGGTATTCTCTTTCAGTGGTCTCAGATCTTGAAAATCTTGGGTTTATTCTGTATGCATTTTGTGATTCCAAATTTAACCTCAAACAACACATGCCTACCCTGAGACACCTACATGACATCTCCTGGAAAATACTCTCATGTGGCAGACCCAAATGTAACCAACTACTCCCTGTGCTAGAGAAGCCTGTGTTCTTGGAGAGTCTGGTTAATAATAGTAGGACTAGTTCCTAAGGTGAGTTCTTAAATCATAAGGACCATCCAGTAATGTCTAGTGTCATATTAAAACTAAACTAATCCTTCTGATTGCAGTATAAAATAGC